CACACACACACACACACACACACACACACACACACACACACACACACACACACAGTTGTATTGAGAGTGAATTTATCTCCATCTTCCTCTGTGACACTGATCTTCAGATCTTACCACACTGGTGATAATGTGGAGTCAAAAACACAAGAACCATTCATGGATATTAACAGATAAACTTATCACTCAACAGTACCTTGATTTTTATTTATACATTGGAGTAAGTTAATCCTGATTTTCTCTAAGTAAGGTAAGTATGTGTTATCAGTTTTAATGCTGAATAAAGCCTTGTGTAAGTGTAAATAACCCAGCAGAGGTGCTGTTTGGTTGGCAGCTTAGTTTGAGGTGCACATCTCCTTTTATTAAGGCTTTTTTTTTACATGGATGAACAAAATAGTTAGTGCTGCAATGTTGTGTAGTCATTAGATGAATTAACGACTTAGCGTACTGGAATAAAATTTATTTAAACTGAACTGGACTGTATGCAAGTAGCATTAAACGGGAGCTGCTGATATGTTATAAAACATCTCAGAATAAATAAACTACAATAAAATCACAACAGCTGATTCAAATGATGAGTAATTCTTGGGCTCTGGTCAGTGGTTTTACATCACTATATTTATCAGAATCACATGAAGGCTACTGGAACAGGAAAATAACACATGCAGAACCAGAGGGGCTGAAAACCAAGACTATAAAACTGATTTGGATGATGAACATCTTCATCCCTAATTTCTTGTGTCAACTATCAGTCACAGATTGTAAAAAATACCTTTTCTGCCTCCTTGGTGTCATCAAAGAGTCTCTTCTGGCGGCGTGCAGGTGTAACCCTGGATATCTCCCATGCCTCCACCCACATGTTGCCTGGGATTTTCATTCTTGCACTGAGCTCTCCTGTCATAACTTGATTGCCCTTTTCATCCACCTCGGCGTTCTCCACGTAATCCCTCGGCGAGTACCAGCGCACAAAGTCCTCCAGAACACAGCCTGGGTTGGCTGCCTGTGAGAGAAGAAAGGTTTCATGAACAGTTCTTCTGGCTGAGTGGAGGAAACAAGATTTATTTCAGTGATGCTTCTTTTATGTTGTATCGTTTGAAGCACCATAACACCTTCTGTCAACATGCACTCAGAGCCATCAGAGTAAATCATTCAAGTTTTGTTCCAGATTCTTTTTAAAGGAACTTAATTAGCTGCTGTCCTCTTTTGGAGTTTTATAAACCAGGAGAGCTTGTTTATTGTGATTATTCTCACTGGATCCTGCCAACTATGGGTGCAGACAGATGTTGATGAACTCTTGGCAGGAATCAACAACTATGTAAACGTGTATCAGAAAAACAGCATCGCTGCACTTTAGCTGCTTCTCCATTTGCAAATCTCATTCTATTCGGTCCTGGGGTCCGATTTATAAAGCTTGCTTACGCCACTTTTCACACAAAGATTGTGTTTTGTAAAATCCAAACTTGACGTGAAAATGTGCGGTGCCTCAGCCAGATCTGACCCATGCCTACGCTCATTTTGGAGAAGGGAAACTGTGACACAGATGGTGAAGTGAGGAATTAGAGCCACACTGAGTAATGGTCACTGTCAGATATTTAATTTCTAGTTGTGGGCACCAGCCCGCTAAAGCGCAAATCCGCTAATTGCGGACCTAAATATTTCATTTGCGCTTAAGTGGACTTACTAATTTTTAAAATTCATAGGCGGATTAGCGCTTTCTAAAATTAAAATGCAGTACTGCTAATAAATAATTATCTACCAGTCATCATTATCTTCAATAGCAGAAGGTATGGCTGTCAATGAATCACAACACAGGTGATCTGTCTAACAGCACCCCTCCCAGACAAACACACTTGTTGGGAAGGCATACATCCTTGCTGACTGTTGCTTTCGGCCACGGTTCTCATTTCCCACAATGCTTTGTGTCTGCTTATGTAGCAGGAAGGCAATGTTTAGAACTCCCTTTCCCAGCAAAAACAGTAAACGTTTGTAATCCATACTAAAATTTTGTATGTATTGATTTATTTTACTTTACAATCGGAGCTCCTTTTATTAAAAAAATAAAGTTTAAACGCTGGAGCTCAAAAGCAATCGGCCAACAGTGTAAAGAGACTCAGAAATTATTTAAAGATGTTATGCTGCTGATGACTAACATCTAGTGGTCAACTGGCACAACTACATGGAAAACGTCCTAATCCAGGTAGAAAAAAATCAAAAAGAAAAAATAAGTAGGTCCTCTGGACGGGTTCTTCTTTAGTAAAACGTTTCATCTCTCCTCCAAGAAACTTCTTCAGTCTGATGAGTTTCAGGTGAACTGGAAAACTTTAAAATCCAATGGAAACAAGAAAAACTTTAAAATCCAAGCTCTTATTTTGAAGGGAAGATACTAGTTTCCTGTTCCCTGTGCTTTTGTTTCCCGTCAGTCTGTCATGTACCCAGAATGCATTTCTTCAGTTTTCCAATAAACAGTTTTAAAATTACTTTATTGATGCTTCTTTAATGAAAAATCTACAACAAACAAAAGAAAAAGACAAAGAAGCAGCCGAACTAGCAATCCTCAACAACTTTTTAATTTTTACACCAGGAGCCAAAGTTCTGTTTCATGAAATCACATTCCCGCAATCGGCGGTTGTAGAATTAAGTTGTACAGAGTTCATGCACTGCTATTTGGCAGTGTTGTGCATATATTGTACATGAATTGTCAGCTAGTAAGTGTCAAATTGAACTTGCGCTTTAAAATTAGCTACCGCTAGTTTTTCTACTGCATAAGCGGTTTTGATGTTGCGGACCTAAATATTTCTATAAGCGCTTCAGAAATTGAGGAGCTAATATTTGGTTTAGCACTGCCCACCACTGTTAATTTCACTTCATATCATAATCAGACTTAGATTTTTATTCAAATTTATCATCAGCTTTCTTAACAGTATTATTTATGCTTCTGCTGCTGAGCCAGAAGGAGCTTTGAAATAAAAAACTTAAATCTTAAATAAAAGTTCACACATATTCATTCATCTCCTTCCTCCTCAGATGACCCTGACCCACAGACCCCTCCCCGACAAAAGACATTTCAACAGCACGACAGCAAAAGTCACTCTTTGGGTACTCGCAGGGCGTGCCCCTCACCAGTGTGGATGTTATAAAAGTTCACTTTTTAAAGTCCGTATTTCTCAATGCGCGGGGCTGTGAGGGGGTGAGGAGACGATCATCTGCAAATAACAGAGCAGGCAGGAGGGGGAGGATGTGGGAGAAGAGCAGTGAACTTAACTTTATCTGACTTATTTAATTTTATTTATTGTTTTTATCATCCTGCAGGCTCTGAGAGAAAATGAATTTGAAGCTGAGTTTTTTATAAAAATCCTTATCTGTCATCCTCCAGACTCATGACGGAGCGCATCTGAGCCAATCGAATGTGTTGTCATTGATCAGCTGACTGATTTAAATACATCTTAACATTCATGAGGTACTTTGCATTGACTGTTTATGGTTGAGTGTGGGCGTGTAGAGGGTAGAACCTGAGGCGGGACCTTGTGCGCAAACTCTGACGTGTGGCTGTGATTTATAAAGGAAAGTGTGCAGAAATGTGCGTACATACGGTTTTATAAATCTGAATTTGTTTTGGCGTACGCCATTTCCGCCTTTTGGCCGTACGTTCACTTTTAGTGTGTGTGTGCTAGAAATAATTATATCTATGTCTGATCATTATGTTGACATTGCCTTGACATTCTAATTCGTATCTCTTTGATAACTGTTACATTTTTCATAATCTTTACCTATGATTGAAAGACGCCACTGCTGTCTGCCTTGTTCTAATTTCTGACACTATTGTGTAACTTCTGCAATTTGTTATTCTGCCATTGGTCTGTCTGCGGTGGTGCTCAGAGCTTTGATTTTCCCTGTTCACCTCGTGGCTCGTCTTGCCCTTTGCAAAACCTTTTGTTAAATCATCTGAAGACCATCTGCGCAGTGCACTCTCTTTTATTCACGTGTTTCTGCCCGTTAATAAATATTTTCCACAACAGTATGGTTTCTACGCAATCCTTTATAAATCTGACCCCTGGTCTGTTTGGTTCTGCTCAGGTGTGTCCTTCAATCTTTGGGTGGATCGTCAGCAGCGACTTCAGCTGTTGTAGTAAAAAGTAAAAAAATAAAAAAGATTTATAAGGCGTTGTGGTTTTATCATCAGGAAGTCAGACTTTCTTTTTTTAATCTAAGTATTTATTTTGTTGCGGCGCTGTGTTTAAGTGCTCGTGCAACCGTAGGTGTCCAGTTTGTCCAAAATCTCCTGGGATATCTGTTGATTTTAGGACGGCTTTGTTCAGCGCTAGTCTCCTTCACCTCTCTCTCCAAGAAGTGTTTCCAAGTTCTGCCTTTCTCAAGATCACCAAAAAGGTTTGCACCTCCAGGTTAGACCATGTTTTTATCACTGCTTTCGCCATGTTGTATCTCTCACTCACATTTCAAAACAGAAGCGGCACTCTCCAGGAGGAAGTTGGCAGGATAAGTTTGCACACAAGTAACATCTTTCCTCTGTTAATCAAGAGTCAATTCATAGGCAGCAATCTGATGATGTCTACATCGTAAGCACACAACACCTGGTGTCACCTGCTTAGAACCACCTCAGAGGTGAAAACAGTTCCCTGACTCTTATTGTCTCACACTTATGGTGTTCATGAGTCTGATTTATAAAGTTTGAATAAAGTATTGATCAGTAAAAACAGTGTAGGACTGGTGCAAACAGACACACCCAGCTGTCTGCATCCTCATGTTCTTCTACATGTTGTGTCTGACATATGCTGCTGGACTGTCACGTGATTCATGCTTTAAAAATAAATAATTCAATAATTATAAAAGTTACAAATACTGAAAGTCACAGCACCTTTTTCCAGGTGGAGCTGAACTTTTGAAACTTATGGTTAAAATAGTGTAAGTATATAAATGATGTTTGACTGCAAAAACACAGAAGAAACTAAAGAGGAAGGAAACTGAACACTGACAGATCTCAGATGGTCTGACTCTCTGACAGTCAGTCATGAGTCCTCCTGCACAGCTGTACATCAGATCTTTTGTCTGATCAGTAGCTGTGTTTCCATTGACCATGAAAATGCGCAAATTAGAATTTTGAAAATAAATTTGCTCAATGGAAACACGTCAATTTCGAAAAATAATTATGTTTTTCGACAAAATGTTTTTGCGCTAGGATGAGGTGGAATTTAAGCCGTATGGAAATTGATGTATTTCGCAAAACTGCAATGGAAACACTTTTTTCGCATCATGGGAGTCACGTGATCAACAACCGGCTGTTTCCACTGGCGAAAAGAAGAAGACGAAGAAGATAACAAGAAGTAAAAGTACCGTATTTTTCGGACTATAAGCCGCGACTTTTTTCCTGAACTTTGAACCATGCGGCTTACAGTCCGGTGCAGCTTATACGTGGATTTTTTTTCTTCAGCCACCAGGGGGCTCTTATGCTCCATTTGCTTCAACCACTCGCTTCAAAAAAAGAAGAAAAAAAAAAAAGAAAAAAGCGATCGCTTCCAGAGTTGACTGTTGACCAGGAAGCAGCGATTTAATGATAGTCAGTGGCCAAAAACTCATAAAAGGGGATAAAACAGACATTTTTCACGGTGGAATCTGTSTGATAAAAACTTTGGAGCTTAATCCAGGACCAGCTTGTGGATAAACGTCGAGTGAAGAGCTGCTGACTTTTTTTTTCTCATTGCACTCCCTGGGGAAGGAATCCCATGCGGTGACGTATGCTGGAGCAGGAGGGCTTTCCCAGCAGCTGGGCTTGGGGTTTCTCGGGGGGAACTATGAAAGGTCAGTGCGAAAACAAACGCCGAACAACCACGTGACAGCGCGTCAACCGGTCAACAGCTGAGCGACCATACTGCCAGCTTATCCAGAGGTGTAGCGCCATTTTGTTTTAGCTAGTAGCAGACACGACACAACATGACGGACCTTCGACAGACACGATATTGGACAGTATGTGGGCCCACATCATGGATTCGGTGAAAGCAGCCATCAAGAAAACAAACTCAATCCTGCTGTTATTCCTGGAGGTACAACAAAGTTTTTGCAACCCCTGGACATCAGTGTGAATCGTGCATTTAAAGCAACACTCAGGGCTGAATGGGAGGCTTGGATGACTGATGGGGATAAATCTTTCACAAAAACTGGCCGAATGTGAAGAGCGTCATTTCCTGATGTCTGCCAGTGGATCCTAACAGCGTGGAGCAGAGTGAACGAGTCCACCATCACAAATGGGTTCTGAAAGGCTGGACTGCTACGTGAAGAGGACACCACAGCTTCAGAGTCAACATTACCCCGGGAGGACAGCGACACAGAAAGCAACACTGAACAGATACCGCTGTGTGACGCAGCTTTTCTGAGCTTTTTTTTTAACTCCGACACTGAAGAGGAGGACTTCGATGGTTTCAGTGCACCGGAGGACGATGAATGAGATGTTTTGTTGGATCAGAAACTGTTAAAGAAAACTACCAAAATAAGGTCAGTTATATGAACCGTATTCCTCCGAACTTTAATTCTTAAAGGTTTGCTTTTTATGTTTTGATGTTGAATTCACTTTTTTGACGACAAATTTGGGTGTACTGGGGTTTTTTTATGTTGGGGGTGCGGCTTTTAGTCCGGTGCGGCTTATAGTCCAAAAAATACGGTAGTAGTGAAATCACCAAAGTAGTAAAAGAAAGTATTAAACTCACCGACTACATTTTCCCAAAAACGCAGCATAAGTAACCGCTCCCAAGTATAAGGGGCTTGTCACTCGAAAGCCTCGATAGAAGACACTGAAGTCTCCTCTGATGATGTGCGCTAGTGTCGTGGTAGCAACATGCTATGTGTTTACATCCATTGCCGCCATGTTTGTAATGACTTATCATGAGAACAAACGTATTCACGCGGGACTTTAATAGCATATCTTACTTAATGGAAACACTGCAGTTGCGAAACTGTGTTTTTTCGACATTAACAGAATATCGACAAAGTTTTGCGCACATTTGAAATGGAAACACTGACTAAAATCTATTTCTACTTGCAGTTTGACACTAAGTGTAGGTGAACACACAACACTGAGTGTGTGGACCTCACTAAGTGTAGGTGAACACACACACTGAATGTGTGGACCTCACTAAGCGTAGGTGAACACACACACTGAGTGTGTGTGGACCTGTCTCACCTTGAATGACTCCATGTCTGAAACCAGACATGCGCTCTGCATCCGAGCGCGGAGGTGAGTCCCTTCAGCTGATGTGCCCAGTTTGGCCAGAACCTCTGAATGTTCTTCCAGCTGATCCTCCGTCATGGGAGCAGGTTCCTGAGAAAGAAGAACAAACACTGACTGAATCACTGAGTTTCCAGCAGCTAAGTATCACCTGTACAAGATAGTAATGCTAGTTAACGTTGAGTTCTTTCACACCTGGACAAGTTTTAACAGGTGCTGTTTTATTAAGGATAGCAAAACATTAGCATAGCCTGGATGAAGACTTTTCCCTTTTTTGTCATATATTGACCACTATGATTTGATATCACAATTATAAGAGGCTAACTACTGATTATTGGTAACTGTCTGACAAAACATCACTAAAAATCATCAGACTATCCCTTTAATGAAATGGATCTGCAGCTGATTTCTTTTAGAGTCAACCCAATTCAAGATGGCTGAAACGTACAAGACTCTGGTGTAAAAGGTGGCAGGTCATATGCATTAGGCTTTTTATTCTTAGACTGAAATTGTTCTTAAGGTTGTAAAATTAAAAGGTTTTTGAACATTTAAATGGTGTATTCATACCAGGAACGTCCTTTGGTCCACTTGTTTGGTCCGGACCAAATAAGAGACTTTATTTTTTTCCTTTAGTGTGGTTTGCATTCACATTGTGCTTTTTGCAAGCAGACTATAATTTATAAACAAAGCCACGCAGGTGACGGTCATTGCTCCCATTGGACAGAAATGATGGACAGAGAGCAGACAGAAACTAGACATGGGTTTTTACAATGTAAAAACAAGTGTGCATTGCCAYGTAGCATGTCATTGCAGCATGGCTTTGCCTGCAGCATTGGACTTGCAGAAGGAACTTTGACCAAGTTCAAATGTGTTTTTCTATATCAGCTTGTGCCTGTCATGTCAGCAGGTCAATATTTCAAAAACTACAAGTTGTACAGGTACCAAAAGGCATAGAAACCATTTGGCACAGGACCTTTACAGGACCTTAACAGATAGAAATTACAATGGCAGCTGTAGGACAAAGTATGCAGGAGCATTGGACTTGCAGAATGAGCTTTGACTAAGTTCAAAGAAGTTTTCTAAACCAGCTTGAGCCTGTCACGTCAGCAGGTGTTTTTCATTAAGGTAATTAAGTGACAACATGAAGTTGGAATAGACTTTTTGTTAAATTTGCATTAGCTGGGTTTTGAACCCTGATCTCCCACATGAAAGCCCATGACATAGACCATTAGACTGTTGGAGCTTTGGCAGTGTGGTGCCAGGGGTTGGTTTGTATGTGTGCAGAAAGAGGCCACATTGCCAATACAATTATTGACACTAAACTGCATAATATTACAACAATAGAGCAATATTAAGATAATGATGTAGTAAAACATCAAAATACAATCATATTAGTATTGTAAACACTGAACTACTGAGATTAAATATTAAAAAACTAAGCTGCAGTACCAAGGTGAGTACAGCTGGGGGCAGTATTGGACCATTACAAGGCCCCATTGACTCCCATTTTATGAATTTGGAATTAGGTTTCAACATTAACATTTCAAAAACTACAAGTTTTACAGGTACCAAAAGGCATAGCAATCATTTGGCACAGGACCTTTACAGATAGAAATTACAATGGCAGCTGTAGGACAAAGTAAGCAGGAGCATTGGACTTTCAGAATGAACTTTGACCAAGTTCAAATGTGTTTTCTAWACCAGCTTGTGGCTGTCACGTCAGCAGGTGTTGTAATTAAGTTAATGTGACAATATGAAGCTTGAAGAGATTTTTGTTAAAGTTGCAGTAGCTGGATTTGAACCCTGATCTCCCGCATGAAAGCCCACAGTGCTCATCATGAGACTATAGGAGATGTGGCAGAGGAGAAATCCCAGGGATTGGATTGTATATATACAGAAAAAGTTTACCTTGCCAATGCAATTATTGACACTTAAGTGCAATATATTACAGCAATAGGACAACATAAAGGCAGTATTACAGTAAAACATCAAAATACAATCATAATATTGTAATCACTGAACTACTGAGCTTAAATATTAAGATATGGTGCAGTACCATATTGTGTAGATGCAGCAGGGGGCAGTATTGGACCAATACAAGGCTCCATTGACTGCCATTATAATTTATTAAACATTAATATTTCAAAAACTATAAGTTTTACAGGCACCAAAAGGCATAGCCATCATTTGGCACAGGGGCTGTACAGATATAAATTACAATGGCAGCTCTTGGACAAAGTACTGTATGCAGGAGGAGAAGCATGGCAAAGTTGAGATGACTTGGATGGGAAACGAATCACAATAGTGTGCATTGCATTGGCAATGCACACTGATAAAGATGGTGTTAATACAACTGATTATAAAGAATATCAAGCACAGCTCATTCAGTGAAGGTTTTACAATGATAATTTTGGGACAATGTTGTCAAATGTGTGTCACAACCTAAAGGAGATGAGATGTTCAAAGTTGTCTGACCCACAAGGGTTCATTTTTTTTGTAGCAGTGTTAGCATTAGCGACACATAGGGCTAATGTTGCTTAACAAAGGTATCTGGTGAAGAGGCGCATGTTTCCTGTAGTTGGTTCGGGTCGAGACTGGTCTGTATTCACACCAAACTGTACCAGAGTTCGTTTAGAAGCGAACCCAGACCACCTCAATAAATGGGCTCAGTCCAGTTGATTGGTCCGCACCAGGGTTCACATGAGTGTATTCACACCTGCATAAAAGGTCCGGACCAATGGGGAAAACAAACTCTGGTCCATTTAAAGTGAACCAAATATGTCAGGTGTGAATACACCCATAAATTCAACAGAAGGTGTGTGGTTCTGAAACCTGCTGTACATAAATGTCTGAAAACTGACTCAGTTTCTCTTTTCAGTTTTAATGGTATCAGTGCATTAAAAGCAACATTATTACTGTCCTTGTCTCTCCTGTGGTAGCCATGTGGAGCTGCCTAAACACTTGCTGATACAAAGCTCCGCCCATTTGTACATAGCTCCTCCCTGGAGCTCAGTCTGCAGCCGAGCTCCTGTCCCAGAGAGCACCCCTCCCTTGAAGTATTGTTCTGAAACTGTGCTGAAGTGGGAGTGTCAGAAATGGTAGGAGGTTCTTAAAGAGACAGACTATGATAAAAAATCATATTTGTTTTATGTACATTTGCAGCATTTTCATAACAACTGAAAAGTTGTGCTGAAGAATTAAACTACGTGCCTGGAAAATACACATCACCCCACTTTTAAAAGGATTTTACTCAAATCCAGTTTAGCTTAAAAATCTTTATGAAATGAGATCACATTATGTTCAACTTGATGTCTCACACTGATGTTTGACTTGTCTGTTTCCACACATTTATACATAAAAACACTGACATGTATTACATATTCTAAATAATTACTAGATTTAAGAGAAGGAGAGTTTTACTCTGTGGTATATTTCCTCCTACAGATGAGTTAATGAGTTGGTGAGGCGAGACGTTCTACCTGTGTGACGGGAACATAAAGAGGTTCTGTAGAGTTCAGTAGAGTCATGTTGTTGTAAGGGTGCAGTCTGCCTTCTGCTTTGCCTTTCCCGCCGTTGTTCCCCCCCTCCTCCACCTCCTCCTGGTCACTGCAGCACTCGAAGAACTCGTCCTCGCTGTCACTCCCTGAATCTCGGAACTTCCCCGGAGGCGCCTCTCTGGTTGAAATGGACCCAGCTGTGGACGATGCTGGTCCTCTTCCTCTGTCTCTGACCCCCTCCCTGTGAGCTTCGTCTCTGGCCCTCTTCCTCTCAATGCAGCAGTTCAGCATCTACAAAGCAACAACAGCCTTTAGACACAAACAATTTTAATAAACTGTCTGTTTTCCTGGTTGTTGCAGGATCTGTGGTACCTGGAACTTTTGATGCAGAAGACAACAGCGAAGATCAGGAGGTCCAGCAGCCAGCCTGGAGATCAGGTAAAACAGAACAGAACTCCAGAAATGTTTGATTTTCTCATCTCTACAGCAGGTAAAATAAGGATTGAACACATCAACATTTTTCTCAGTAAATATATTACTAGAGGTGCTAATGACATGGAATTTCCACCAGATGTCAATAACAACCCAAGTGATCAATATATACAAAGAAATCAAACCATAAATGTCCAGAAATGAAGTTATTTGTAATAATGTGGAATGGCACAGGGAAAAAGTATTGAACACACTAACTGAAATTTATCTAATACTTTGTACAAAAGCCTTTGTTGTCAATGACAGCTTCAAGACGCCTCCTGTATGGAGAAACTAGTGGCATGCATTGCTCAGGTGTGATTTTGGCCCATTCTTCCACACAAACAGAGTTTCCTTGGCTTTGTGTTTGGGCTCATTGTCTTGCTGAAATGTCCAGCCACGTTTCATCTTCATCATCC